ATATTAAGTAAGCGGGTTACCTCTTCTTTGACGAATATATTCCCGGCTTCGGCAACAGGGCGTTTCTTTGTACGGCTACCTCTGTCGGGATGCCTGTGATATCCTCATGCGACCATGCAAAACTATCGGCGTTAGATTTAAGGAATTTAATAAAGTCGGACCTGAGTTCTGGGTGTGGTCCTGTCCCCAAGTAGAATTTCCTTTCTAGGAATTCTTCGAACAATGCCACTTGCTCCAGCTCTTCCGCTGTGGACTTCGTTGCATCGGTCTCTTTTGGAACTTGGAAATATCTCAGAACCTAATAATATTTCGACGCCTCTTCCCCCGAGCTAACTTTATCTGGTTCGGGAGTAGGCGTCGGTCCCTGTAATTGTTATGCCACATGTTCCTTTCCTTTGCTACTGGAGACCAAAATTCCATTCATCTCCCTTGTCGTTGGTTGATCACCCCTTATCTGATTAATTCCTTCGGGCATTGGAATCTTCAACGATTGATGATATGTTGATGGTACAGCTTTCATCTCGTGCAACCATGGCCTTCCTAGAATGATGTTGTATCCCATATCACCATCTACCACTTTGAAAAGAGTTGTTTTCATTACTCCTTCAGCATTCATGAATAATAAAATATCTCCCCGGGTTGTCACACTTGCGAGGTTGAATCCGGCGAGGAGCTTTGTGGCCGGAATAATGCTTCCGGTGAGTTTAGCTTGCTCCAATACTCTCTATTGTATGACATTAGCCAAACTTCCTGGATCCACTAGAACACGTTTAATCTTAAAATCTAGCACATTTAAAGAAATTACCAGTGCGTCATTGTGTGGTAGCAGCAATCCGTCTGTGTCCTTATCCGTAAAAGTGATATCGTCTTCCTGAAGCCTTTTGCTATGCGTTATTGATATTTTCATATTCTTTTCTACTGAAAAGGTGACCCCGTTAATCTCGTTCTCTCCAAAGATCATATTGATTGTTTGATATGGGGGATATTCTCCTACATTCGAGGGTTCCGCGTTGTACCGGTTACGGCCATAATTATTCTTAGCTCGATCACTCAAGAATCCTCTTAGGTGACTATTCTTCAATAATGTTGCCACTTCTTTCCGGAGGTGTCGACAGTCCTTTGTCCGGTGGCCATTCGTCATGTGGTATTCACACCACAAGCTGGGATCCCTCTAGCTAGGATCAGATCTCATCGGTTTCAGGAACCATGCTTCTTTGATGTTTCTCATGGCCGACACTAACTCCACAATACTGATGTTGAATTTATATTCCAATAACTTGGGGTAAGAAGGATCCTGTGACCCTGATGCTTCTTTATCATGCAGTGATCGATTGTTTCGGTCGCGATCAGTCCTCCTGTCAATTGTAAACCTATCCACTGTCCGAAAACCTCTACCGCGGCCTTCGATCCGTTCGTAGGGCAAAAAGTGGCCCGTCGAAGTCCGCCTGTCCGCATCAAAATCATCCTTTGATTTTTCTCTGTTCTTTTCTCGTACTTTGGACTACGGAAAATCAACCTGATCTTCTTCGATCCTTATTTTTGATTCGTACCAGTTGTGGACATCTGCCCAGGTCGCTGCTTCAAATTGAGTAGGCTTTCCTTCAATTTTTGGGAAGCGTTTGAACTCTTCGAATTTAATCCCTTGGTGAATACTTCAGCTGCCCATTCATCCGGGATAGCCGGGAGCAACATTCTCTCCTTCTGGAATCGGGTAACGAACACTCGTAGCAGCTTGGACTCTCCTTGCGCAATCCTGAATATGTCAGCCTTTAGGACTTGTACTTTTCTATCCCCGGCATGAGCCTTGATGAAATAATTCGCGAGCATTTCAAAGGAGTCTATGGAAAGCTCGGATAACAGCGAATACCACATCAAGGCTCCTCTCATGAGGGTTTCTCCAAATTTCTTTAGCAATACAAATTTAATTTCGTGAGAAGCTAAATCATTTCCCTTTACCACCGTTGTGTATATGGTAATATGCTCATCGGGGTCTGAAGTTCCATCATACTTTGGCACTTCAAGCATTTTGCAACGCTTCGAGATTAACTCTGGTGCCGCACTTGGTTTGTATGACAATTGAGTATAATTTTTGGAGTCCGGACCTTTCGGCAGTGGTGGCGCGCCCGGGATCTGGTCCATGCGAGTGTTCACTTCTCTCATAAACCGTAAAAGTTCATTCTTGAAAGGATCATTCTCGTTATTAAGGCCGAATCCGCTCCCCGCTCCCCCATCGAATCCAATTTCACCCCTGGGAGTGATGTTGTTGACCCTCTGATGTGTTTGATTCGCTGGAGACTCTAGAGGAATCAGATCTCGTTTGTTTGCATTATTTGAAGCTCCCGATAGCGCCTGCTTCAACTCTGTCATAACCTTATCCTGTCGCATGAGGTGGCCTAGAATGATCGCCTGTTTCTCTTGCAAGACCCTTACCGCGTCAACGACATGTTCCTCATTAGCATCATCGGGAGTTTTCTCCCGAACATGTCGAGGATATTGCTTGTCATGCACCGATGTGGTGCCATTCCCCTCATCGTGGGTGTCACTCATTGAGTCCTCGGAATGAGATTGATCCCCTCGAATCTCGAGGTTGTGCATGTTATTAAAGTGTTGTCTGCCATTTCTTATGATTTTTTCTAAGACAAAAAAATCAAAACAGGTTAGTAAAAAGGTAAGAATCAATTTAATTACAGGGCTGTCTAGGCCCCACGATGGGTGCCAAACTGTTTACCCGTAAAATGGTACAATTGAATTTATACGTGGTTTCTAGACATATGAATTAATTTAATCCTGAAATAATAAAATAATCAAAGAATTATGCAATACTTAGCCTTAGGATGTAGACAAAACAGTAGAAGCAACAGTTCCCGGAACAGGATTTTCGAGCACAACAACAACAACGAAATCAAAAAGTAAGAAGATAAAATGGTATTAAGATTTGTATAGAATGTAGTGTAAGTCTGTCAGAAAATTCGTGTCCCTTACAATGATAACTGAGCTCACTATTTATAGTTATGTCTAGGGAAGGAGGTCCTGGGATCGTGCCTTTCTTTAATGCCAATTATGAGGGATATTGATGAAGATGTAACGGTGAACATAAATGTCAAATTTCCTGTAACGGGTAATTGCTCTTAATGCCATAGAATATTCTCTATTAAATGCTATTGGGCGAAGAGCATTTATCACATCTTTATGAGCGTTATCTTTCCGGTGACAAATGAAACAGTTGCCTTCGGTCTTTGGCCATCTCTCCGTCTTGGGTTTCACGTGTCCCTTTTTTGGACGACCACGTGTCATAGCATATTTTACCCCATATAATTATTATGTTTTTATACCGCAAATAACTAGCAAAAAATAAATAAATTAGATGGTTAACCGTCGTTCTTCAAAGAAGAAATAAGAAATGATTGTTATCCATCGTTTGTAAGAGACTCGAGGAATATCTAACACACACACATATATATATATNACTAACAAGGTGATAAGCTTCCTCAACACCTTATTATTAATTAATAGACTGAAACAAAAAAGTATTGAGATCTTAAATTTCTAACACGTTAGATTAAAGCCTCATTAATTGTTTCTTTTTCCTTCTTGAAGGATTGTGCTTGACAATATAATTTGAGTATCAGATTCAAAATCTTAAAGCGATAAGTGAAGTGACCTAGAACATTATAAAAGGCCAAAATCATATGCGGCCCCTTAAATTTATCCCGATTTTCCTCTGTGACACCTTATCTTAGGTTTGTTTCAATTGAACAAGCCATCTACTCAATAAAAGTACCAATTGGCTACTTTTTTTACAACCAGCAAATAATAAAGACGGTGTGCAATGCACTCGCGGATGACATAACTTTTTGACTAATTAAAACAAGACATGTGGCATTGGGCCCAAAATAAATTTTAAAAAGATAAAATATTGAGTACAAAAACTATATTCAAACCTAATCCTGAATTTGCAGTCGCCGTCACCTTTCTTTCCACTTGCCGTAGTCCCCCACTATTCCGATAAGATATGTAACGATTCTCTCTCTCTGCCAGTAGTGGTTCTTGGCGTGTCTTCATTTTCCTCCGTTCTTCAAGCCCTCTCTAATCTCTATTAGAGAGAATACTTTGAATTTAAAAAGAAAAATAGTCTTAGAATGGGTTTTTTACCGGTTCAACAACCATGATTTTCGGCAACGCAAACACGACCGTCGACTTCTCTTTCGACCTCAGCATTATGTTTTCCGTTTTAATTTCTTTTTTGCTGGTTTCATGGTGGTAGATGGACAATGTATCAAGTGATTTTGGTGATGTTCATAGCTGGCTAAAATGGAGATTTGGACCGGGATTATGCATATGTATTCTTTACTGGTTTTATTATGAGAAAAACGGGTGAAGCTGAAGGAGGTGGTGGCAGATCTGAAAAGCTGAGGAAGAAATGAGCTGGCGACAGTATTGTAATGGCAAATATAAAGGAAAACGAGGGTAGTGAAGGAGACGAGGTGGCTGAAAAAAGAAGTAGAAGAAAAATGGATAGTAGTGAAGTCAACGGTGGTGGTAAGGTGGTGGATGGGAGGAAGTGGCGGCAAGAAGATAGAAATAGATTTCTTTGAAAATCCTAATACAATTAATGAGAGATAAATGTATTCTTTAACGCGTCCGGCACACGTTATCTTACAATTGGTTCTTTGGCTTACACGTAATAGAACATAATTCTTTCTGTTCGCAAATGGATAAATGACCTTAAGATTAGTGAAGAGTGCCTTGTAAAATATAAGGAGGGACCGTCGACCAGAATCCAAGATTAAATTTAATAAGTTTAACTTTATACTAAACTAATTATACCATTTAAATATGATTCAATCTAATGTTGAATCCGTAGCCGAAAGGCTACATTCTGTCAAGACTCCAATTTGTTTTCGTTGAATGTCGTGATGACACATAGTGTCTACAACTAGTTAAGCCTAATATTTGATAATAACTTGACGGGTATAATTAATAAAATACTAAAACAAGTCTGATAAACGTATATAAACTTTAGAAAATAAAATCTCAACAATACACTCCCCGAGACCTGTGAAACTGAGTCATACGCTCTACAGAGTAAGCTAAAGTGTCTACTACATCACTATCTGAATGAAAATACAACAGGAAGTAAAGGTAAAGGAATAGATGACTCTAAGGCCTGCGGATATGGAGCAGGTATACCTTAGTACTAATAGTTCAAATTCATGTTAACAAGACAACTACTCAATCCTTATAGGCTTCACCAAATTGCGCTCCAAACAATACTCAACATGCCTCATTAAGGACTTAGTATCGTACATTGTAACATAAAACAAGATGACAATGACTAATTACTTTCTACCATCCATCATCACCTTCTTCAATCCTTTCATAGTGACTCCAAACATGTGAGATAGCTTTGAGACCACAAAGTCGAGGCATGATTATACCTATTAAACATAAAAAGAAAAAATATTAAGTCAAGTAATATTTTTAAACATACTATGTGTTATATAAGTTGAATAATTAACTTACCAAATTTTTTCTGGATCACCCCAATACTTATCAAATTTTCCTTCATCTTCTTTGCCATTGGACCCAAAAGAACATCTTCATTTAATTCATGGAATTGGTCCCCCATTTAGTTAACTTCTTAGAAAGCTCCTTCACCTGCACATCATTTGAACTAGCATTATCAACTGTGACAGTGAAAATCTTTTGTAACCTCCACTCTTTCAAATAACTAACAATACTATTTGCCATATCTTCACCCCGAGATTTTAGTTAAAATTATCCCTTATGTTTTGGGGTAGACCCAACTTTTTCCTTTAAATTCAACATTGAGCATCATTTATCCTCTAAATTTGCAAAACTTGAGCACAAATAGTCTAACTAACGAAATGTACCAAGCCGAGGCAGAAACTAACGGACTAATACCAGTGACTTGCAAATTAAACCAAAAAATATCAAACCCAGCTCTGATTTCACCCCTACGAGCACTTCCGGGAAACAGACATAAAAATGCAAATTGGTGCCTAGTGACACCTTGCATATGGTGTTAGCACGTCCTCAAGTCCAAGACTGCTGCTTTTACCGTATCACTGTTTCTTAAGGTCTTGAGCACTTACTGAAGTCGTGGCTTGCCAATTACCACATCTCATCATCGACCATGAAGCTTCCTACTGCAAGAAAATCACTTAAATTGTCAATAAATAGCTTACTTTTCGGTAGTACAGTGAAGTTTGTCTTGAAAGTTTCTTGACGTTCAACTCCACTGCCTCATGTCACATTTGATTGTGAAGATTAGATATGAGAAGGTTTTAGCAAGATTAGAGATTGGTTAAAGCATCTATTGTGAAATGCTTAGATATAAAATTAATTGAGATATGATTCTTTTACATACAAGATAATTTGAGAAATATTATACAAATTAAAATTTATTAAAGATGATCAGAAAAAGTCGACAACATATGAGAATATGTTAAGAGAATCAAAAAAGTTCATCAAAAATTATCGAGATTTAATTTTTTTGCTATGAATCTGCGTCTTTATAAAGGAATTATTTTTTTCCATAAACCATAACTGTTCTTCCTTTTGCACCCAAAAAGAAAAGGCATCACTTTTGACCTTACTGGCATTCTTGTAACTGTCAGAAATGTAAAATTTGGAGCAATAAAATCAGGCATAAACTACTGTAACAAAGGAAAAATACAATGGTGGAAATGAATTGGGAAAGAAGGGATTGCGGGGACAGAAACAGAGCCAGGTGGGGTGGCTTTTGTAGGTATCACATGCAAGTCACGTGGTATTAGTCCGTTAGTGTCAGCCTTGGTTTGGTCCATTTCGTTAGTTGGAGTATTTGTGCTCAGGTTTTGCAAATTTAGAGGACAAATGATGATTAATGTTAAATTTAAAGGATAAAATTGGGTCTACCCCCAAACATAAGGGACAATCTTGACTAAAAACCCTGTGACTAGAAATTGGAGAAAAGTTGATAATTATTTTATGCATTTTTCATTCACTATCAATCCAATGAACAGTAATACATATATAATTTATTTGTTGTAAGGAAGTCCAAGTATCAGTGGTAAGGCAAACTCTCTGATCTTTAAAAAGCTTCCCCAACTTCCATTTTTCCTCATTGAAAAGATCAAAACGGTCCCGAATCACAGTTCTACGTGAAGGAATTCGAAAAAAAGGTTAAGCAATTTTCATAAAATTCATAAACCGTTCCTGTTCAACAAAGCTAAAAGGAAGTTCATCAACGATCACCATATGACACAAAGCCTTCCTACATTGTTCTTGATCAAATTTCCAAGGAACAACGGCTATATCACCCTTATTACCCCCCGGAACAGGTTAAAAGGCTAATTTTGATTGACGTTGTTCAATATCCAAAGGCATTTTTTTACAATTGGTCATATGCGCAAGCAGTGATTTTGTACCATTATATTTTGTATCAGCAAAATATTCTTTTTTGCAATGTTTACAGACACCCTTTTGATTTCCTTCCGAATCAATAATTTGGTCAAAATGATCCCATGCAGGAGACCTCTTTTTTCTTTATTTCCTTACTGTCGATTGAACTGATTGAGATTGTGCCGTCGCATTTGAATTAGAAGCTCCACTTTCACCAACCACCTTATCAATTAAGATATTTTCAGCCATGCGTTTGTGTCACTGTGAGTTTGAATTTAAAAGAAATCAAGCAGGGAGGCAACAAATTAAAAAATAAATTAGAAGAATCTAGACATAAGGCAACTGAAGATGAAAAATCTAGACATAAGGCAACTGAAAAAAATAGATACTGGACCTTTCCATTCATAATTTATATATGCGTTTTAATGTACAAAATCTAACCATTCAAAGATTAAAATAGTATTTTGCAGCGCAATTTAAGAAAGTATTTTCCAGCATTTATTATGAGAAATTCACTTATTGCCATAGATATTAATGAACCAAAGGGTACTGAAGTGAACCCTAAAAGAATTCTTGAAGCAACTTACAAAAATATAAATTCTAAAGGATCGTCAACAGCATCAGCATGTATTATTTAAAAATATATATATATATATATATATATATATATATATNAAATTTTAATTTATGGAAGTTTTGTATACTCAAGGTATCTTTGTGATTATTTAGGCATAAGTTCTTTATTATCTGTCATTCACTTAATAAACGATTGAATCAACTGAAGATGAAGACGAAGGCAACTGAAGATGAAGATGAAGCAATTAAAAACTTACACGAGGAATGAAGATGAAGCTGAAGAATGCGGCTGAGAAATGTAAACTTTGAAGCAACTGAAGAGTGAAGAGTCTGAAGAATACGGCTGAGGCTGAGGCTGAGGCTGAGAAAGAATAGGAAAGACCGAAAGAATGAAGGCCTAGCATATCTGCATATGTATATACTTAAGGATAAAGTAGTAATTTCGTTAATCCTTATTGGGTTATCGGTTAACCCATTAACAGAATTGCCAAACCCAAGCCCGAACCGATAACCCAATAGTGAAAAAATTCTAAACTGTTACCAAATCGTTAACCCAATAACCTAATACCGATAATTCAATAAATAATTAACGGTTCGGGTTATCGATTTTACCCGATAAATGCCCAGCCCTAATTCTATGCGGTCACGTGGAGTGTTACATGATCGCGTAGGTTTATACAGTCACAGGTATGCGATTGCGGGTGAGGTGACGCATTCACATAGCATGTTTTTATGTTGTTGGAATTTTGTTCTACGCGATCGCGGGAAAATTTCCGCGATCGCGTAGTGTGAGCAACTGGGCAGACTCTAACATTTCAAAAATAAGGGTTTAGCTATTTTTATCAAAACTTGAGATAGAGAGCCCGAATGTGGACGAAAATTTGGGGGATTTTTAGAGAAAACTATTGGGTAACGATTCTTGACTCATTTATGATTATATTCCATTAATCTATAGTTGGTTCCATCCTTTAATTTCTAATTTGGGTTGAAAATTTTGGAAACAATGGGAGAAAATCTTCAACTAAGTTTTTGAGTTTTGATTCGGATTTTAATGTCGGATTTGGATAATTTTCGTACGAGTGAACTCGTGAGTGAATGGGTGTTCATATTTTATGACTTTTATCCGATTTCGAGACGTGGGACCAGGCCGACTTTTTAGGGCGATTTTTGAATTTTTTGTTAAAGTATTGATTTGATTAATTAGATGAGTCTATTATAGTTGTATTTATGATATGCAATTGTGTTTGGCTAGATTTGAGCCATTCAGAGTCTGATAATCGAAGAAAGGGCATTCTTACAGATTGATTGATCTTGATTCGAGGTAAGTGGCTTGTCTAACAATATATGGGAGAAATCCCCGTAGGATTTGGTACTGTTGTGATATGTGAGTGCCGTGTACGTGAGGTGACTAGTGCGTACACAAGCTAATTGTTGTAAAACCCAATTTTTTTTACTAAGTAGTAACCTGTTTTCATCTTAATTGAGTTATACCCGCATGTGTAGTTATCCTACTTAGTCTAATATCGCATATATACGTGATTTAGCTGCTTATTTGTACTCTGTGCAGCATGCCCAGTTGATTTCCTATTTCTCCTTGATTTTTATCTGTCTTAATTGGAGGATTCTTGCTGTTAACTGTTGTATTTATCGGTTTGAGCTATGTGTTTACTTATTGAGACTACGAGGCGGTACCTCGGGAATTCTTCCTACACATTTACTCTTGAGACTATGAGGCGATACCTCGGGAGTTCTCCCTGTACATTTACTTTTGAGACTACGAGGCAGTACCTCAGGATATCTCCTCGCATATTTACTGTTGGGACTACGAGACGTTATCTATGGAGATTCACTGTTGAGTATTTACTTTTGGGACTACGAGACGGTATCTCGAGAGAGCCCATGTTGTTATCTCATTGTGTTGTGTTGTTATTGCTTTGTGAGTACTTTATGTTAATGTCTCCATTTTACTTCATTTTATTATATCATCTGTCTTATTATTATATACCAGTAGCCTGACCTGACCTTGTCACTACCCGATCGAGGTTAGGCTTGGCACTTACTGGGTACCGTTGTGGTGTACTCATGCTACTCTTCTGCACATGTTTTGCGCGCAGATCCACGTGCTTATTATCAGCCACGTCATCAGTGAGTAGTGACAGTTTGGAGACTTCAAGGTATATCTGCTGCGTCCGCAGACCTCGGAGTCCCCCTCTATTCTCTCCTATGTCAATTACTTTTTGTACTTCTTTTATTAGACTCTGGTGTATAGAGATACTAGTTTCCTTCTGTAGCTTGTGACTTATGATGTTCCAGGTTTTGGGAATATTGTGTATTACTAGAGTATTGATTATTGTACATGACAAGCAGCATTGTTACCAGTTATTTAGTTATCTGTTGCAGTTAGTTGTTAAGTTTTACTTCCATTTTTGTTATTTTCGCATTTTGTTAGGCTTACCTAGTCGTAGAAACTAAGTGTCGTCACGACGTCTTACGGAGGGAGAATTGGTTCGTGACAATTATTTTCGCATGTGTTTTTATTTCTCGGGTTATTTATTAGTTTAATACTACAACAAAAAAACAAAACGACAACTTAACATAATTTAAATTCTGTACAATTAATGAAAATGCATGACACGTAAAACATAAATATAAAATACTACACTCAACACATCCATGTGTTTGTTTAGTTACTATCGCCCATTATTCTGTGCTTCAACCACTTAAATTTTTCTTCCAACCTATTTTTTTTCTTCTTCTGCATCTTTTAGTTTCTCCTTCACTGCCGCAAGTTGTTATTGTAGTTTAAAGATCTGGAGTTCGTATTCACTGGTTATTTTCCAAACATATTGCAAACATGATTTGTAGTATTCCTGGTTAATGGGTTCATCATACCATTATTCAAATCTACATTGATTTCCGTCCTACCAATGGGTATTATAACACAACACTATTAATTAACATGTTATATAAAAACTACTAACAACATTTTAATGGCGCGCTATGCTTCGCGTGATAATGATTCTTTAGGGTACAAGACAACCTTTTCAGAACGGAAGCTTTTGCAGGTCGACAAGACAATACACATAACCCATATTGGTAGAGCGTTATGCTTCAAGTACAAGACAATTTCTTAAACTGAACCAAGACATCTGTATTCAAAGACCATTTGAAGAAACATTACAACATCCTTTTAAAAAATACCACTAACATTTAATAAGTGGTTCAAACAGAGGCAAAAGGGTGAAGGTAGTTCAACAGATCCCTATGGAATACGTCTTAACACTATCGATCCCTTCCTAGAAAAAAATATGCTAGGTTGCTATACTGATTTGGTTGATGACAAGTGGTATGGTGTTCTGCGTACCTTGGAAAATAAGCCTATCAATATACACACTGATCTCAAAGTTGCAGGGTACATTATTAAGGGCAAAGCGCATTCTACAAAGCCTGAAGGTATGCGAATTTGGGGTGAAAACGATGTGATTATGAAGTATTATGTCACTGGCATGGGCTTGTTATGCCACAAGCACTGTCTTCAACTTTCCAAACAAACACACACAAAGATGAACCAGAAATGATTCGGCATTTGATGAAGGAGATTCTAGATATGGAAAAGGCACTAGTTGTTCATCATGTAATGGATAATCTTAATTTCCTGAGAGGAACGAAGGATCAGTACTGGGATTTATTAAAAAATGAGAAATTGCGTAGAGACAATGATTATCCTATTTTACC